CCCCCCCCCCTCCCCGCCCCCAGTATCAATAGAACTGATTAATTGAATTCTTCATTTCAGCAAACTGGTACTGCCAATGAGAACATGGCAAAGCTCATCTTCATGGAACTGAATAACGCATGGAGTGCATTCGAGAGTGATGCGTCCCAGCAGAATCTTTTTAGTTAATTCTAGCAAAAAGTAAATAAATAATTGAATAATTAATTGAGTTTCGCTGCTATTTCACTGTTCCTCGAATTAAAAAAAAATAAAGAGAGAAACTTAATTTCACTGGCTCATACCGTGATAGTACTATTCTGTTTAATCTAAGACGTAAGGGAAAGGGAGGAGATAAAAAGCCTCGAAGCAAATATAAAACTTTATTGCATTCCAGGCAAACTATTAGCCGTTAGTCGTACTGTCTGAATCCCTCTAATCAGGCATATTTTATTGACAGAACTATTACGCAAGTGTTTCAACGCCGACGTCTCGAAATGAAACTTTGATTTCCCCTTTGAAAAGTCAAAATAAAGAGATTATTAAAATGAAGACATTAAAATGCCGAGACCCTCCACACCTCCAACCGACAAATTACCATGTACAAGTTATGAATGTATATACAGCAAAGATGTAAATGAAAATAGCTCCCAAATATAAACATTATTTTCTGGTTGATCCACAGATCAAAGTCAAGTTTATCTTATTATCACCCGAGAGTTATTCAAATGACCCTCTTCCACCCTTCAACTCACCCCTCGCCCCCTCACCCCCGGCTAACCACGCCCCAATTGAACTCTCTCCCATAATGTATCAAACCCAAACAACCGGGAACAAGGGAATCCCGAATGAGAAATAAAGCACTCCTGAAAAATCGTTGGAAAAAAAAGCACCAATAGTTTGAAAAAAAAATCCTTCGATTTTATTGATCAAATCCCGATGAGGAGGATCGGGGTCATACCAAGGACACCGAGGACAAGTGGAAATTCAACCCCACCCACAGAAAAAAAATCTAATCTGTTTATCTTCGGTTCTAGTCTCTCAATGATCTCTCAACCCCTCAAATGAGGGTGAATAAAAAAAATGTCTCGGGGACAGATTCTCAAGACACGTACAGCTGTAGGCCATTGTTTTCCGGAGGGCCAGGGGGGGAATATCGTGACAAAGTTGTTGGTAATGGTCTCGAGATGTTATTTTCTCCTTTAACAAAGTATTCCCTTTCGGTAACTTGGCAAGTACCATCCCCCCACCCCTCTGTGACGTTCGTCTATCTTCGGAAATACGCAAGCGTACTATCGCAATTGTGTGTGTGCGCGCTTGTGTGTTGAAAGTTTAAACGTAACACTGGGGGTTGGTATTTGAGGGTGGGTGGGGGGTGGCTCGAGAGGAATTTCCTCAAAGGGAGGGGCTGCCCGAAAATGGCTGTCACGCACGGCTACAGTACGTCCGAATGAGGGCGAGGGTGACGCTCAATCCGTTGGATCCTATCGCCCCCTTAACAGTTGGTCTTCCTTCGGGAGAATAAATGATTGAGGATCATTGGGGCTGTTGATTAATCATGCTCATTCGGTGATCAATACGGTGGTTGAATTTTTTTTTTCAATCATTGTAAACGGGTTTTGATCGATAGTTATTATGATAGTTGAGTGTGTGCGCGGATATTTTGAAACAATCCCGGCCAGACGAGATTATAGTCGTGCCAGAAGGTAATTAGAATACAATCAAGGTGGTTTAATTGGGCTATTGGTGCGGGGGAGGAGGGGGCGGTTTTTTTATTTTTTTTTTTTTGGGTCAGTTGAGTATTTTGACCAGACGGGGTCAATTTGAGGTCAACGGTGGTTTTTTTTATGTCAGACGTAGCGTTGTACGTCATCAAAACAGCGGGGGTGCAGTCGGTCGGGGGTGAGTTTTGAAAACAGTCGTAAAGGAGAGTTGCAATGAAAATTATGGGGAATGGAGAATTTTAAGGCGGTTTACGCGGAACTAACTTGTTTATATGGTTTATTTGTAATGTTTGAGTTGTTTAATTGGGTTTTTGGTTCCGAATGGAAGCATTGGGGTCGTTCAAACTTAAGTTTTGGATTTTTTGCGTTATATCGACCCAATATGATCCAAAAATCACTAATGAATGAATGGAATTCAAATCATTAATCAAGTCATTTATCAAAATTTAATTAATCGATTAGTTTTTTTAATTTTTGAATTTTTTCAAAAATCAGCTGTCCCACGATAACTAAAAAATGTTCTGAATTGATTGAATGATGGCTTAAGAAATTTGTTTGGAAGTTCCTTTGGCCGAGTTCGAAGATGAAGGCGATAGCAATAATCGCTATTTTGATTTATTCGAAAATTTTCAAAAGTTTGTATTTTTTGAAAATCAGAATTCCGCGGATATTTTTGGATATCATGGTTCAAATGAATTCAGTCATGGCTTAAAATGTTTGTTTTAATGCCATTACGTCAAAGTTAAAAGATGATTACGATAGCTATGTTGATTGATTTTATTTTTATGACGATTGTTGAAAATTTTGAATTTTTCATGAATTTCCCTGAAAGAGGACTTTCGGTGAGCTTCTTCAAATGTGATGTTTCAAATTCATTCAAGTATGTGTAAATATAGATAGATAGGAATGTAAAAGAGACAATCGGTAGAATAATGATGCTGATAACACTCAACTGAATTGAAAATCCGACAAAATTAGGTGAAAAAAAAATCGTATTCAATTTAATAAAATGAAATAAATAATTCAGAAGCACATTGCTAATTTATTAGCAAACAACTATACTGTACACAATACGCGAGCAATTTTCCACTCGTTTTTCAGTCGAAAACATGTCATTATCTCTTTACATTGCAGATTAAAGCGGGATGTAGTGATAAACTGGTGAAGAATATAACAACGGATTAAAGATAATAATCGGGCGGAGGGAGTGCTGGGAAGATGCGTGGTGATAGGCTGTGGTTATTTCTCCTCTTGATATCAATTAATGCAAAATCATCGGTATCATCAGCATCAAATAATAAGACTGAGCGTGCAGCTAAGAATCGTTCGAGAGGCCAGTCACCATGGCGTTTAGTCATATGTCTATCACACTCTCAGTCACCATCGAGAAACGATGTACAAAGGGCTTGGGAAGCTGCGAGAATAGAATCATCGCAGAGCGAATTAGAAGTGTCTTACATTGAGGGAAGAATGACACCGATGACCGATTCAATGTCCTATCCACTTGCACTTGTTAATAAATTTTGTACTGATATTGAGAATGGGAAAACTATACTCAGTATTGTTATTGGGGGTGGCTCGGCATCGAGATTTCTCATTACTGCTGCGGATTCTATTAATTTACCGGCACTCTGGTTACCGATGACGCATAGGGACTTCTTGAGACAGGTTTGTCGTTTAATTTCGCTTTAATTTTTCCATTTGGAGTCATTTAAACGTGAAGATCACGGGGTTTATCCCCTTAATTCGCCCCTCCAGCTACTCCAGCTCCCACTTACCCCAGACAGGATTGATCCCAGCAATTGGAATTATGCAGTTGTTTTTTTATTGATAAATTGTATATTTTAATAGAAGAGAATTCTTAGACATGAATTTCCCACGTTTTTCCTCAAATTTTGGAATGAAAAAAATTGCAAATTCAAATTGCAAATTCAGTGCAAATAAGTTAGAAAACTTATTTGAGAAATTTTTAATGAAAATTTGTACGAAGTCAAGTGAATTTCAATGGAATTTTAATATAATTCTAGATTCTTCCATTGAAGAGGCGAAAAAGCTCGTCAATAAGTGCAGTCGCCAGGGAATTCTAGCGGATTTTTTTTCTTTTTGTTAATTTCTATTGAAAATTATACTATTCAACCGGTGAAAATTCTTGGACATGAATTTTTCAATTTTCCGCGAGATTTTGTAATAAGAAACAATTAAAAATTCAGTGAAAATAAATAAGAAAATTAACTGGAGAAATTTTCACTGAAAATCTTAAAAAAATTGATTAAATTTCAAAGGAACGTCAATAGAATTAGAAAATTTTTCATTGAAGAGGAAAAACTGCCCTCCTATGAGTGCATTTGCAATAGAAATCACTCAGACTTCTTTTCCCTCCTGCTAATTTCCACTATAAATTACCCAATTGAACAGAAGATCCGGATTTTCCAAATTTTCCCCCTCATTTTGCGATTAACTTTTTCATTCGCCTTCATTGAACCGAACCGATCACAGACATTCCCGTCAGCCGTCCCCTCCGCCCTCGGCATCCCCGATTTACCCCAAAAAGAATTGATCCCAGCCATTTGAAACCGGAAATCTCCCTTTCCCGGTCGCCTCTGTCCCCACGAAATCACCCACATGGTCAGCTCCCCCCTCGCGATAAAACCCAATAAAAAAGAAAATATTATTCCAGGGAAAGCGCGGCACATACGAGACACGAGTGGGCACCAGTTCAGAGGAAGCGGGTGCAGCGGCAGCTGCACTCATGCACAAAGCAAATTGGCATGCATTCATCCTTTTAATTGATACAACACTTCTACCAATGCATCACTTGCTCCACAAAGATCGTGATATACTGACACCACGTACTGTTGTACATCTACCAGCGACTGATACGAGTCTCAAGATAAGACTGAGAAGAATATCGGAGGAGGGTGGCACTGGGGCTGTACTAGTTATGGCGTGTGATCTCAATAATGCGAGGAGAATTCTGTCAGCAGCGAGTAAATACCACATGCTCAATGGGAGATTCTTGTGGCTGTGGCTGGATCTCAAAGCTGAATTGAGACCCAACGAGCCGAGTCTTCTGAGCTCCCACATTATTCACAATTCATTGACGGCGGTGGGGAAGGGCGAAGCTGTTCCAATGGAGAGTATCGTGAGACATGGGAATTTGGTGCTCGATGACGAGGCGCACACGCCCTCCTTGTCGAATCTACCGAGCGATGTGCAGCGGCTGCAGGAGTTCAGTTGGAAAAGTCAGAAGATCGTGAGGAAACGAGAGGACAGGGGCTTTTCATTCGACGACGATGACGAGCCCAGATTGAGCGATAGAAATCTCAATTCCAAGACGTTCATGCCGGTGGGGATGCTCGCACTCAGGCCGTCCAGCATTAAAATGTCCGGGAATGATGCCATTCTCGCGAGAATGCTCAGGGAAACGTCACAGGCACTCGACAATACGTTTCTTGAGTTGACGGCGCTGAGCAAATTGAGGGAGGCGCAGATCAAAGAGTACTTCGTGCCGACGTGCTTCCTCGAGGGCAGGGGCAGGGGATCTGTTAACGAGATCAAGAGGAATGTCTCCAGGACACTCACCAGGAGGCTCAGGGAGGCCATGAGGCAGCTCTCCCATGACAAGGCCGAATTTCAACTGCTGAATCTCCAGGCTGTGCAGTTCCCCGGGAATAAGACGCAGTTGAGGTAATTTTTGGGGAGATTCTTTCACGGAGTTTGGTGGTTTTTTAATCAACGAGGAAAGTTCGCGGGTGTGGAAGTTTTAATTTGGGGGGAAGGGGAAGGAGTACCTTTGTGGGCAGACGGATAGTTAGGTGGAAAACCTGACGCGGTTGGAAGGATGTCGGAATTCTATTTATTTTTGCTGGGGAGAATTCTGGACATCAATTTAACGAGTTTTTTGGGGATTTTTTCAGGAGACGGAAGGGAAGTATTGGGGGGTCATTTAGAAAATTTGGTGGAGTTTTGAATGAGAACCTGCGCGAGGCTAAGTGAATTGTAGGGGATTTAATAGAATTTGTGATTTTTCCAGTGAAGAGGAAAAAGTACCGTTTTATAAATGCATTTGCTAGCAAATTCCATCGAATTTTTTTTTTGTTCTGCTGATTTTTGTTGGAAATTATACAATTCAATAGAGGAAAATTATTATTTTGGGATTAGAAACATTTAAAAACCTAGTGAAATTAATTGAGTAAATTTATTTGAGAAATTTTCAATAAAAAATAATTGAGTTCTTGTAGAATTTCTATAGAATTCTAGATTTTTTAAGTGAAGACACAAAGGTTCACTAGAAAATCTAACGCATTTAATGGGGAATTCCCTCCGAAGTAGATAAGCATTTTGAGACATGAATTTTCCAAGTTTTTCCCCCACATTTTGGGATAAAAAATCCCGCAACAATAATTTAAAAACTTCATCTAAGAAATTAATTAAACTATAATAGAACTTCACTAGAATTCCGTATTTTAAAAATAATTTCTTTCATGTACGTGAAGGTGTGAAAGTTTTCAATTTGCCCAGGATGCGAAAAAAATTACCTCTTGCACTTCGTGCCTAGAGCATTTTCTGTTTTAATGGTCAATCGAAACGGAAATGGAATCCATTGATTTTATCTGACAATGAAATCGAGAATAATAGACATCGGAAAATGATTGGAAATAGGAAAATGATAAAAGATAATTGGGGAGAGATTGCGTTGGATGTTGTAAACCTGAAGATATGCTCGGTTCACTGGGTTTGTTGCCCTCGTCGGGGTTAATTAGTCCAGAACTTGAAGATCACGTTTATTTTGCTAGATAAATGGCCGCTATCTCGACACTACCGAACGTGGAGACGGTTTAATTATTCTATTCTGCATAAGATGCCCAGCTTTTTTTTCATCGTTCAATTTGTTTAATGAAGTTATTCCCTTTATTTTTGCTCTTGCAATTTCAATATTGAAATTGGTTTGGAAATTTTACATGCATATTAATTTGATGGAAATAATCCCACGTGCACGAAACGTAATTACAGGGAGAGGGATCAGTCAGTGGGGAATTGCAGTGGTGATAGAAAATCCGGAGGAAACTTATGAGTTTGCCCGCAATGGTTGGAAACTTTATTTGGTTTACTCGGTCTTCGTGGACATGAACATGGAAAATCAATTGCATCAGGAATTCTAGGGGTGTAATGATTTAAAAAGCCGGTGGGAGTAGTTTACACAGGTCATTGGGTTCAACAATGGAAGTAAAAAAGTTTAGGTGAAGAATAAAAATTTTATTTCATTTCGAGGCTTCCATTGAGTTCAAAATTAGAAGTTAGAAACTAAAATTAAAATTTTCATTTATATTACAAGAAGTATTTGATAAAAATTTTATGAATAACTATTTTTTATTTTTCTTTGTGAAATAATTTTCACAGTTTTGAGTCAATCGAATTGAAACAAAATAAACAAAAATGACAGTTGTCAAATTGAAACGAAGAATAAATCAATAGATATTAAATGTATTTTATTAATTTAATTTAACTTAATTTATATTAATCAACATTAATTCAAGAAATAAATCCCCTTGAAAAGACAGAACATAAACGTGGAAAATTAATTCCACTACAAATTCTAAAGATGTAATGATTTAAAAACCCAGTGGGAGTAGTTTACACAGGTCATTAGGTTCAACAATGAAAATAAAATGTTTATGTCTAGAATAAAAATTTTATTTCACTTCCAGAATTCCATTGAGTTTAAAATTAGAAGTTAAAAACGCAAATTAAAATTTTCATTCACATCAGGGGAATGAATTAATAAAATTTTCATGAATAACCAGTTTTTAATTTTTTATGGAATCATTTCCACGGTTTTATTTCACAATGTAAATCACTTTTGGCTGAAATGTCTAGAATGTTTATCACAAATCTTGAATTAAATTAGTTTCACTGAAATTTCAAGGAATTTCGTCATTGAAAGTTTAAAATTTCATAGAAAAATCCATGAAAACTGTAAATTTTATGACAACGAATAGAAATGAGGAAGATTAAAATAAATTATTATTATTATTATTATTATTATTATTTTGAATTATTGTTAAGAAGAAATGAGGAAAATTCATGTGAATATATATTCTTGAAAAAATCTGAAAAAGAACATAAAGAATTAAATAACAGTCGTCATAATAAAAAATTCATTACCATTGTCTTTAATTCGTCATAAAAAAAACAACAACTTTCATATTCATCAAAGAAATGGATCCCTCCAAAACCACTAGAAGCCCCTGACGCCCTCAAGCTAATGAAAAAAAAAAATCCGTGAGCCCCAATTTTCTCATTTCTGCAGATGGACGAAAGTGGGAACAATTCGTGGTGGTAAAGAGGTACGTCTCGACACAATAACCTGGCCAGGGGGTGGTATAGTGCCCGCCTACCTAGAGCAGGGTGGTGAGCAAATAGGGATGCCGGTCTACAAGATAGTAACAGCCCTGGCACCCCCATTCACCATGATAACAAATCTTCAGGATGGTTTATGCCTCCGTGGATTAGTCTGCAGAAAGGGAGATGTGCAAAAGTGTTGCTACGGTTTCTCAATGGATCTTCTCTCCCTTGTGGCGCGTGAGCTGAGCTTTCGTTTTGACCTTTATATCGCACAAGACGGTTTATTCGGCAAGAGGAATGGTAGAAATGGCACGTGGAATGGAATTGTGGGTGAATTACTCCACGCTAAAGCTCAACTGGCATTTGCACCGCTGAGTGTATCAGCAATAAGGGCTGAGGTCATTGACTATACGACACCATATTTTTTTAGTGGTGTCAGTTTTTTAGCATCACCAAAATTAAATGAAGAGATACCACTGCTCATGTTTTTACATCCATTCAGCACTGGTTTGTGGCTGACTATTTTTATTTCCCTCAATGTGACGGCTATGGCTGTTGCCATATACGAGTGGTTCAGTCCGTTTGGGCTCAATCCATGGGGCAGACAGAGGAGCAAAAATTTCTCAATAGCTTCGGCACTCTGGGTCATGTGGGGATTACTGTGTGGACATTTGGTCGCTTTTAAGGCACCCAAATCGTGGCCTAATAAGTTTCTCATCAACATTTGGGGGGGCTTCTCAGTTATCTTTGTTGCTTCCTACACTGCTAACATCGCTGCCCTCATCGCTGGATTCTTCTTTCATCCGTCTGTCAGGAATTATCACGACAGAAGTGTGAGTAGCTTAATGTTCAGCATGGGATGGGACGTTTAGTTCAGTCGGGGTAATAAAGGGAAGAGCATTTTCATAAAATGGCATGTCAGTCACAGGTTGAATGACATTCTCGGGGGTGAATTTCAAATTGATGGTTCGCTGAATTTTTTTTATGGCGCAAGTTTTATATGCATGACCGTATTTTTTAAGAGGCAAAATCCATCACATTTTTCATCGTCAATTGATCTTCACTCGTAATTAAATTTTTATTAGCCTCTCGCGACGACTAATCGCTTTTCTCGCTGCTCATTTTTATTGGAAATTATACAATTTAATGGCTGAGAATTCTTGGACATGAATTTTCCAAATTCTTTCCCTTAAATTTTTTAATGAGAAAAACAGTTTAAAAATCTGCGGAAATAATTTCGGAAATTTAAAGGAGACATTTTCAATGAAAATCGGCAAAAAAATTATTGAATTCAAGATTTTTCTATTAATTTTCTGTCTTTATTTTATTTTTCAAGAGGTCCTTAAAATTTGCCATTGCCAATTGATCTTCCCTCGTAATTAAAATTTCATTACCCGCTCTCAAAAGTTAATGTCCCTGTCTCATTTAATTGAAAAAAACTTGGACAGAAACTTTGGTGATAAGTGAAACTAAGTAACAACACTTTTTCCCCAGTTACTGTCGCAAAAAGTTGGAGCACCGCGTGCCTCAGTTGCCGAGTACTACGTACAACGTGCTAATCACCAATTATGGACCCACATGTTACGGTTCTCACTGTCTGATGTGGCTGAGGGGGTGGAGAGACTGCGAAATGGTACTCTGGACATACTTATTGCTGATACACCGATTTTGGATTATTATCGAGCAACTGATAATGGTTGCACACTGCAGAAAATCGGGGATACTATGAACGAGGACACTTATGCAGTCGCCTTGACCAAGGGCCATCCCCTTAAGGAGAGCATCTCCAAGGTTATTGCTAATTATTCCAGCAATGGGATGCTTGATGTACTGCGGGATAAATGGTAAGTACAATCCCTCTTGACATTTCGTAAAAGTTTTCATTATTTTCGTTCATATTTTTACTTCAACAAGTAAAAACGAGCTAAATTAGGAGAACATTTTGACGTTTTTGTTAATTTTATAATTGAAGTATAACAAGAATTTTCCATTCTTCAATCATTGACGATGTGAAATAATTAATTGATGAGTCGCGATTAATTTGATTGTCAACGTCTCTCGCGCGTTGACATGTTGTTAAATACATCGATAATTATAGGATTTTATTCCAATGAGAGGTTTAATGGTGGACATAAGTGCTACGGGGTTTTTCAGTTCTATGAAACTAGGGGATGTGGTTCAACATTTATCAAATGCGTGACGTAGAGCGTAATGCGATT